TTTTTATTATCTTTCTTTTGATTAAAATACATGTTTTTTGGTTTTCTATTTAAAAAAAATAAGAAAACACTTTAAAATCCGAAAAAAAAATTTCAGCGTTGTAGGGCTCTTCAAACCCTACAACCCCTTTTTTTTGTTTTTTTTTTTTAAATGTTTGAAATTCTCGGCCCCACCCAACCGCAGGGCCGACCTCAGCGGTTGGGATCCCGACCGCAGGCCGAGATGGACCCCGCGGTCATGACCGCGGGGGATACATAGCTGTACGGTGCAGTGCGCGCCGAGCAGGCTCTGCAACTGGTTCTGGATGCCATCGCCTTGCGTACTTCAGTGGCGACACACGACCACGGTCTGCGGTGTTGTCGACACGGCAAACTGGAGACTGAGGGTCAATCCTCGCTGCACGTGTCCGCACGTGGCGGTTCTGCACTTCGGCGACGGTGGACGGACGATTCCATTGGGAAGGACATCGCTCAGGGGGGGTGGCGGAGCGTGAATTGCAGGTGTGTCATCGTTGTGGTCGCGTAAGTGGTGGCGGCAGGTGGTGGGCATTTTTTTTCCAGTACGAAGGGCGCGATGGAGGGTGTCAAGGGTCTCTGTGCCGTGTTGTCGACGACGGAGAAGACAGCGGTCGCAGCGGCTGCACTCGCAGTGGTGATCAAGAGCCTAGTCAAGAGGGCGGCAGAGCGCATGAAGGTGACGCTTTCAAGGCGGCGGCAGAGACTTCTGGTGCAGAGGGTGGTGGACGCCCCGGACTGCATTAGCACCTCGGAGGCCGTAGTTCAGCTGTGCGCTGCAATCGGGTGTGGTGTGCTTCCTCGGGCGATGCCATCTTGGTGGATGAAGTGGAGAACAGGAGGCACTTGGGAGGATTTGCAGGTGTGCGATGACGCGACTGACGACTACTTTTAGGAAACGCTCCGCATGTCTAGGTGAGTTTTCATGGAGATCAGTGAAGCCTGTGCTCCACATCTACAACGACAGGTCACGTTCTACAGGGAGCCGTTGCAGTCGGAGCAGATCGTCACGTACGTGTTGTAGAGGTGTGCTACGGGGGAGACATACGACAACAACACATCGTCTTTCGGCATAGGGCGAGCTTTTGAACTCATCGTCGTGCGCAATCATGTCACATATGCCCTGTTGAGGGTCTACGCAAACAAGATTTCCTGGCCTACGGGGGTGCGGAAACACCTCGTGTGCCATGCGTTTTTGGAGAAGGGCTTTCCCAACTGTCACGGCGCTAATGATTGCACACACATCTACGTCGACAAACCGGCGAACGCCCCTATCGAGAACTACTTCGACCGTAAACACCGTTTCTTCGTCGTTGCGCAGATCATGGTCGACCTGGATCTGCGTATTCTGAACATGTTCGTTGGGTATCCCGGGAGCTGCCATAACATAAGGGTGATCCAGTTGTCTAGTTTGTCGCGGTGCACGGAAGAGGGAACGTTGTTTCGTCGGTCACCTGTCACACTGCCTAGGGGGGTGAGGACAAACGAATACATATTGGGCGACAACAGGTACCCTCCTTCTGAATGGGTAGTGGTGTCGTACAACAGAATCAATCAGCCCCCCGACGAGGAAAGATTCGACACAAAGAAGAAGGTCGTAAAAGGGGTTGTGGAAAGGGCGTTCGGGCGGTTAAAGGGGATGTGGAGGCTCTTCCTGCGGACGAGCAAGACCAACCTAGACACTCTGCCCCAATAGTTCACGGTTGTCTGCATACTACACAACATTCTCCTAGATGTTGGTATTGAGATCGACGAGAAACTGCTATGGGTGGTCGACGCGAACGGGGTGTGGCGCTGGATTCATCTTCCCCCGTAGCCAGTCAACAATTCCACTTCCAAGGTTGAGGCGATCGAGCTCCAGAACGTCGTAGCAGAGCGAATGAAGCACATGTAATCCACGATACGACCGGGCTGTTTCTCGCGTTGATGAAAGTACCATGTTCATGTCCTTTCCCGCCGTCGTCGATCCAGAGCGCTCGCTTCGTTGGCTTTCACACGAGGATGGTACTCTGTCATCTATCGCCGTGTGTTGGACGTTTCTTTCGTCGAGGACGGCTTGTTTGGCCGTCCTCGTAATTGTGGACGACGACAATGAGGGTGTTTCGTTCGTCGATCATCGGGGTGGATGCTTGTAGTGACGAGGACTGTCGTTGTTCCTCGCGTTGTAGTTGCGTCTTTTCTTTACTGGTTTCACCATACCTTTCTTTTCGCCGGGTTTCCGACAATTGCGAGGCTTGGGGTGGGGGAGTGGAGGCGTTGTGGTGGCGGGTGGCAGTGGTTAGGGCAGTGCGCAAGTCTGCCACGTCAAGTGGGGGAGGTAGGCGGGCGGGAACCTGGTGCGGTGTTTATGTTCACGTGCTTATCCATGTTTGCACGTGCTTAAAAAATGTTGGTTTCTCTTCACGAGCGCTTCTCGAGGCGCTGAATCGATTTCTCAAGCACAAGAATGTGTTTTTCTTTTCGACTTGTGTGTGAGGTCGTCTTCTTGCGTCTGGCTGCGTCCTTCTCAACGACGGGTTTGTTTTATTGTCTCGTGTCTGGGACTTCTGTCATGTATCTCGTCTGTGCTTGTTTGCATTTCCAAATGTAGATAGTCGTTGCGTTGTTGTTCCACACACGACTTGCATGCAAAAAAAAAAAAAAAAGTTCATCTCGTCTATGAAACCGCGTGCTGATTGAGCGCGTGGTCGGCGCTCAAGTTCTTGAGCGCCACTCAACCCTGCACTCAAAGCGCCTCGAACGGGGTTTGAGCTAGCGTGGGAATATTTTTTTCTCCGATAAAAAAATACGCAAAAAAAAAATTAAAAAAAATACAGGGTTGTAGATCTTTTTGAGATCTACAACCCTATATTTATTATTTTATTTTTAGAAGTTTGGCTATATTTTTAAAAAATCACAAGCATGAAAAAAAAACGACAAGATAGAATGGATGGGTTTTTCTTTTTTTTCATAGAGATTGTTTCGCAGGCAAACAATAAATAAAACAAATAATAAAAAATATGAGGTTGTAGATCTTTTGGATATCTACAACCCCGTTTTTTATTTTTATTTTTTAAGTTCTTATGGATTTAAAAAATAATAAAAAACATAAAAAACAGAAAAAACAAGACACACACACATAGACAACCCCCCCAACCCCCCAACCTCCACCACCCACAAAAAAGCACCCCCACCCACCTATTCATTTTTTTCACGCACCCCCCCTTATCATCCCTATGGCATCCCCTGCACTCACGCAACCCCCTCAGGTATGCACGCTGTTTTTTTGACGAGCGAGCGTGCCAGAGAACGCTTTGAGCGCGTTTGAGCGAGAAGGGGCGGGGGGGGAGTTAAGCGCTCAAACTCTCGCTTAAGTGCGCTCATACGGTTTCATATCATGTCGTGACATTTCGGTCCTTTCAGCAACAACATCGCCATCGCACTTTTTGTTATGTTTTTTTTTTTTTCCTGTGTATTTTTTATTTCATTTATTCTTTTGGGGGTTGTGTTTTGTCAGGTGGAGGCGATGTTAACGCATCCGCGATTTGAGACACTGCGTGACGGGCACCATACGTGATAATATGTGCACGACATTGAGATGGCCATTCACCCGTAGTCAACACGAGAATCCTACACAGAAGATAACAAAAGCACCGGTACGTGAGTAACCATTGGCACAAAATCGCATTGCATACTCGAAGAGGTAAACCCGAGTTTTTCGTGCTACCTAGTCTTCCACAGCGCACAACTATGACTCTGTGTGTGTGTGTATGTGTGTGTGTGTGTGTGTGTGTGTGTGTGTGTGTGTGTGTGTGTGTGCTGTCTCTTATACACATCTAGATGTGTATAAGAGACAGGAGATGGCCATTCACCCGTAGTCAACACGAGAATCCTACACAGAAGATAACAAAAGCACCGGTACGTGAGTAACCATTGGCACAAAATCGCATTGCATACTCGAAGAGGTAAGCCCAAGTTTTTCATGCTACCCAACCTTCTGCGGCGCACAACTATAACTTTCTCTCTCTCTCTCTCTCTCTCTCTCTCTCTCTCTCTCTCTCTCTCTCTCTCTCTCTCTCTCTCTCTGTGTGCACGTGTCCGAACTTGACAACAAATATAAAAAAAGTAAACTAAACAAGACTATTGCGTTGCGCAGTGTCTACGTGGCGACTCCATTCGCGAGGTCACTATCAGCCGAAGCATCTCCCGTGCCTCGTGCACGACTTGCCCTGCCTAATCGCCAACGTCGCCGTACGCCCTGCGCACGTGTCAGTGAGTGCGTGTGGAGAGAACCATCTAAGCGGTGCATTTTACAAGCCGTGCACGGGGATAGTGACACCGTCACTAATCAAAACGCAACACACACCCGTCCGCAACACCTGTGTCGGACGCCCCGCCACCTCTAGCGTTCCCCCCCCCACCTCGTTTGGAGATTAAAGAGCCTCCCCATCATCCCATGCAGGACGCCCACCCCGACCGATTGACCTTCAAGATGAACCCGCGTGTTACTTGCCGTCACCGCCATCTTCATCTGTTGGAGAACCGCTGCCGATCCAGTTGTGTTTTGAGTTTTCAACTGCATTCTTTAGGGCGGCGTTGTGATCGCACACCAACCCGCAATCAACCCATAATTCCAGGATGCAATGCGGGTACTCTCCCAGCGTGAGATGGGGCTTCCCGAGGCGATCCAACACGAGGCTGGCGATGTCGACGTTGTTTCGCCTTCAAATGAAGATGTATGACACCGCCGCTATGAGAGTGGGTTTCGCAGTCAGTGATGCGAACAATCCTGCCTCATAGTGCGAACGATCGTCATCACCACCCATACACATGATCCACATGCACGCGCTCAACAAAACCCTCAGACAATCTACAAGCCACGTTAACCTCTCTTGTTTCAATCCGCCGCCGACCGCCTATTGTCTACACCAAAGCACATTTGTACAACACTCCACCACGCGAAGAACTGTTGCCTCCTGTTGCACCACCATGTCATCATCTTAAGGTTTGTCCACAATTTTCACCATAGCGAACCACAAAGGCACGTCGCCCTTCATCTGCAGCGTGTAGTAAATGAGGGCTTGGGAAACCACTCTCGACCATTCCAACCCCTGCCAAACAGCTCGTGCAACGTCAATAGTGTAGTCGACGATAATGTACGACTCTACACGAGTGAAGCCATTCGACCTCGACGACAATTTGAATATCCACCCGTGGATAGTGCGCATTACCAGTTTCTCCACGATGCGCGCTCTGCGCAAAGCCCGTTCACGCTGCGTCGGATTGTCAATCTTGAAGCGTGGCACATCGTTCAGCGACATGATGAGCATGGACAGTGGTTCGGCTCCTGCGTCATTGTTGGTGATGGCGACGAAGTAGTCGGCGCAGCCGCGAATCGCCTCCCTCAACTGTTTTCTGGGGCCTTGACCCCAAAAAGCGTCGCAATTAACCTCCGGATTAACCTCCTCTGCAGTTCTCTTCCGCCCGCTGGCAAGGGGCCGGTCATCGTCATCATCGCCTTCCCATCGTCCATCTTTTACCATCTTCACGGCGCACGTCATCGACCCTCCCCTCTACCACACCTTCCGCGACTCCGCTTGCAGAAGTGTGATGAATCTTATAATCTCCCGCCGCTGTCCGACTGTCGCTTGCGTCCAATTTCTTTTGCAAGGGTGGTGTTATCGTCGCGGTAGAACCCCCAACGGGGAGTGCCCGACGTGGCTGGACTGCCTTAATCACTACCTTGTCAAGTCGACCGCCCCCAGCGACCGGTGTCACGCGGCCACAAGTAGTGCGCCGCCTGAAAACGGCAGTTTAGGGGTTTAGGCTCAGGGTTAAGTCCGCGTTTTGACAGTGCTTTGGGATGACCGGGC